AATCCTGAAAACGAAACAAAAACAATACATTTCTTCAAACAATCTCAAATATTAAAGTTATTATAAGTTAACAAAACAATTTTGACATGTACATAATTTATAAGACACAAAATGTCCAAAAATTACATATTTATTTTTTATATTAAAATTAACAATTTTTTTTTCTCTTTCTTTCTAATTATATAAATTAATCCAATGCTATTAAATGGCCCATAGTTGTCGAAGCGGAAATTCTTTGTAAATTTCAAGACCAATCAAAAAAAAAAATTTACGAATTTTCGCGATTTTTACATAATAATATGTTGTCAAAATTCAAACTTTGAATGCTTATAAAAAAAATTGTGACTATGGATTTCTTTTATTTTTCAACTGCTATTGTAACAATAATATGTTAAGAGCCTTGTATTAAATTTTCAAGATCTTCTACCAAAAAAGTAAATTTTTATCGATATTAATTTWAAAAAAAACTAATAATGATCGAAAATTACAAATACCTATGAATAGTTCAACTTAAGTCGAAAATGTTTGAAAATTGCATGGTGGATAGAATATATTTATATAAACATTCGGTGAAAATTGCACGTATCTATGGTTATTTGTTTTAAAGTTACATCAAAAATCAAAATCGATTTTGTCAAAAACTGATTGTGCGTAAAATTTCCCGTTTTCCCCTTAATTTTTAGTTTGTTTTCTCGATTATTTAGGAAAGTATTAAGAAGTTTTTACTTGAAATCAAAAATCGAAGCACTTTTACTGCCCCAAAACGTGATGACAGACGAAAAAAAAAATAAAAATAAAAACACACATCATGGTAAAATCAATACATTCATCGCTCCGCTCAGAATCTAAAACATTATTCGTAGGTAGGTAGTTAAAATTTTTAGAATATACTTTATATTGTAATTATATTAATTAATGTCGTTAATAACTTATATTAATACTTTAGAATAAATTGTATACACTATGAATGACTGAGTGAATCGGATATATAATGAAATTTATTTGATTAATTTAAAATTTATTCTATAGGTACCTATATTTTTTTTTCTGAAATAATAACATTATAATAATTAATAGCGTATAAAATATCCTACGCTGACAACCCGTCTCCGATCAGAATTGTTTTTCGTATACAATGATATTATACCGTTGAATTTAAATTTAATACAATCCATGACGGAACCTACTTTACAGCAAATCGACATCCACTTACCCGCTTTTTACTTTCTATTTTTTTAAGTTGTAACTTACCTAAATAATAATTGTTGGTGCTTAAAATCTGTGGTACGGTTTTATTTTATTATTAATTAGTAGTAATAGTAGAAAATTCAACTCATAAGATGTATATAATGTACTACTTATAGCAATTGTGTTATTTGTGTATTATATTATAATAATATATTCATGATATATCATATAATATTATGACATCACTACTAAAAATACTTAATACTTAAAAGCAATTTATGTATTTCAGTTCTTAGTATTAGATATTTGTGGCATAATTTTGTAAGGAATATAATGTATACGTATTTGAACTTATTTTGAATCATCTGTTATGGTAATTTCCTATTAACATGTAATTAATACAATCAAATTATCTTTTGTATATGGTTGTTCTCATACAAATTTCTTGGTACCTAAGGTTTGTTTTGTTCTCAAAAGGATATTTGTTTCGTTTTACAATATAGGTAATATAAGTATAATGATCACATATTAGTATCTACTTACTTATTGCATATTTGGTTTAAAACAGTTAATAATATTGTTCGGTATTCTGCATATAAACACAATGTATATATGTATATATGTATATATGCATTCAAATTCTGTATTTATTCCGAGTGTAGTGTATATCTAAAAAAAAGCCAGATAAAATGCATCGAGGGGAGATGTACATTTGCGGAGTTTATATTAGCTGCAATGAGGTACCTACTAACCTATTTACATCAACATTTTACATTGATAAAAACGTTACGTTATAGAAAATACGTAAAAAAATGGAAAAATATTAAACATTTTATGAAAAACTCATACATTTTATTTTTATACTGAATTAGAACTTTTTTGGCCCTAACAATACACAATTTTGATACYATAAAAATAAAATAAAATATGTTATCTTATTGAATATACGGATTTTCGATTGAAAAAATTGAATATAAAAATTTCGTTAAGATCGTTTTTTTAAATAATTAAAATAATAATGAAATATATACTTTAGTGGTTTCTTATTGTTGTAAAATATTCCAATAATTTCTCAAATCACTGCTAGTTGAACGAAATTCAAGGAGTAATACAAATACACATATTGATATACATATTTTATTATTGTTGAAAATTATAATTTAATGCAAAAACAATTTTTGTATTTTACTATCATAAAAAGATATCTATTTACAATTCCATTAATACATCGTATAAACGGTATAATATTATTCAACAGTACAATAATTTATTTACATGCACATAGTTGAAAACAAATAATGTAATAACTGATTGATATTATTAAGTAATATGTTAGATATGGACACGGTTTATTATTACAACAATATACAGTACGATCATTTTTTTAAAAGTAATTTCTATAGGTGCATATTCTTCATCAGATTTTTTACTCCAATCATCATATAATACGGGCCAATCAGCCGACATAATATTCCACCGCCTAAATCAAAATATTTAAGCATTTATTGCGGGTATAAATCCAAAATTTTCTGCCCCCGTTGCCATTGCAACTCTCACGATTTGGGAAAACATGCAAGACTAAGAGTTAGCGTTGTTATTAATTATTCAGAGAAAAACGCGAGTGAGTGGATAAAATGCGGCGGATCACAGTTGCCTATAGTTTTTTAGCCAGTGAAATATAAAATAATGAATAATGAACCCGTTGGAAAACGCTGTGAAATACCTGGCATATGAAACGCGTCGAAAAACGCTACGTATAGCCTCGGCCTCAGAGTTTTTCGGCTGGATTACGTTGAATTGAATCGGGAGTTTTGTTTTTTTACAAGCTAGGGACGGGAACCTAAACACATTATCTGAATTGAATTTTTTTCGATTGAGAGGCATTTAAAGTTTAAATCATAAATATAGATATCTTGTATTTCTATATTGGTGTTGAAAAGCAAACATTTTGTAAAAACTCTAGTTTGAGTTATTATTAGTTTTTGTTAATTGTTGCAATGACAATATCTATTTAAATACATTATTCAATACGATCTAAGTAAAATACCATATTTAGCTCAACAAAAATCAAATTAATTTAAATGGATTTCTAAATTTTAATAAATCAGAAAAAATATATTTAAGATTAAATCTGAAATGTTTCTCATTCGGTCAATTTTGATTTTGAAATTTAGAAGTTAAGAGCCATAGTTTTTGAGTTTAAAATTACTTTAAAGTATAAGCTGACCCAATTATAGTAGGTATCGGATGAGGTTGGTATTTATGTGGTTTCTAGTCTATGTAAATTAAGTGTGTATTCAATGCAACGTAGTCTTGCCGAAAAAATGTAGTTATTAATCGATAAAATGATCACACTTTGTAGAACAGATAAAATTAATATTAATTATTATTTAGTACTAATTACAACACTTTACATTAAATACAAGTAAATTTACAAAGACAAATCGATGGTAAAACAATATTAATATACGTATAGTGGTAACATACTTAGTTGATTAAATGATAATAATAATTATTGCATATACTTAGGAAGTAAAATAATGAAACAATTTTAAAAGTAAAACAGAATACCACCAAACTGGTAAATTTGGGCCAAAAACATATTATCTTTTTTGCGTCTTACTTATAATTTATTGTTCTTAATCGTTACTTAATGACTTTCAAATATTTCTTAAACACGTTTTTAACAAAATTAAATTAGTTTGGAGACTTTGATATTTTTTGTTTCATCTTGGTATGTAGTTTTATCCACTAAGTAAAAGTATTTTAATGCATTTTAAAAATCTTAATTTTTGACACATGATTTTACAATAATACTTATAATATTGAAAAATTGGATTTTATGGTGTTACCTAGATTGTGTTAAATTAAAATCACGTACTATCAAAGTGTATGATCTAAGGTGTCAAATTGGAGAAAGTTGATAGACTCAAAAATAAAATAAGTGAAAAGTAGGTACTTATAGAACATATTTATTTAATTTTGCATATTCTTCATTATATTATTAGAATATTTAAATATTCTTATAGAATTAATTAAGATACATGTTCTTGTCTAACTTGATAAATTTAAACAACTGTATTAATTTTCTTTTAATTTTTAATACAACTTGTAAACTSTCTCAAATAACTCCTTCTAAGTTCTAAACTTATCTAGTCTTTTTTGACGAAGGAGCAAACTAAAAAATATCAACAGTTGACTTTTAAGTTAGGTATTTTAATATGAAAAATTAAATTAAATATGATTAAAAAGGTCAAGGGAACTAAATACATACGTGAGCAAAATTTGACGTAGGTAATAATTCGATTTTTGTTTAAAGAAATAAAATTTAAAAAAAATTAGTAGATATAAATAAAAGTTAAATTTGTAACATTTACAAATTTTATAAAATTGTTCGACGCGGTTATTATTCATATAATATGTTCTGGATTCATACGTAATAATAATTTAATACGTTTATACACACATAAAGGTAGGTAATGTATTTTATAAACAAGAGAATGCAATATAATTATAACAATATAACATTTAAAACATTTAAATTAAATCATTTTGGTAAGTTGTAAAATTTAATGGGTATGTAATAATTAAACCTGGTGAAATAATTACTAAACATTTTGAATACATTACTTAACAATATAATTAAATTAAAATTTTAGGTAATATACACTTTTAAGAATGTAATGCTTAATTTATTAAGGATTTTTCTTTAAGTCATGTGGGTCTGTCTAAACAAATATTATTTTCAGAAATGAAAAAAAAATCCATTACGCACTTATTAAAATAAATTAAAAGAAAAATATTGAGCGTTATAAAAATATATAAATTAGATATATTTTTCTGGGTGGGAAATTAGTGTCACAATTACAAGTAAAATTAATTTCTAACACTCGTACAATTAAAAATATAAATTCAACACAACATATACCTTATATATTAAACGAAATAACAAGTCTATAATTTATTGCCAGTTACTATTGCGGTATCGAATACCTAGGTGGCTAGGTATAGGTACATACTACAAATACAGTTTGGTAATTTGAGTGGATTACCTAATTTATTTGGTACAAGTTCCGTTTTATTTACAAAAAGTACTGTAATATATGATTCTGTTTTTGCCAAGGTCCTTTTTAGATTTACTTTTATTACATTTAAAACAGGAATTAAAATATTTCAGTGTACCTACATTAATGTTACCGATATTAAAAAAGAGTTTTTAAAAACGAATACGAGATGAACTGGTTGTGATTAATATTGATTCATAAAATCATTTAATCAGTTATTGTTTGTGTAGAACCATTGTAAAAAATAACTGGTTCTTTTTAGATTGTCAATAAAAAACGTAACTAATAATTATTCACTTCTATCCGTTATAAAAACAATCACTTATAACGAGTTTATTTAAATATTTATATAGAACTATTGCTTAAATATTGAAAATTATTAGGCTAACTAATGTTATATGATAATATATTGATATCGGAACAGAAATTGTTTACATTGTTCAACATTAAACGTGTTGGGCATAAGGCATCCTCAATTAGAGGGTGAAGTAGTATAATAATAGTAGTATAATAGTAGTATAATAATCTGTCGCCTGCTGTCTGTTATTCTGGTCTAAACATTATCATCGGGTTGATTAAAAGTAAAACTAAAATGTTAGAAGTTTTATATATATTGACATAATTTTTATGGTCTTGTCACATAAATTAATAATAAACGTAAACAATTTTTATTTTCCTTGCACTACACTGTGGCCTACAGCATAAGAGCATACCTATACGGAATCTGTGGAGGACAAGCGGGGACTGCGTCTCAGATATTTAAATGAGTGGGAAATAGTGTCGTTTTACCTTATRGAATTTTAGTTTTACCTGCACAGAATGTCCCCTTCCCTCCAATAATTTACCCCAGATTACACATATGAGTAGATGGTAGTTACTATAGTTGCCTACATTTTTTTTCTCTTGGTTATTCGACGTTGAAAATTGATAACATGGTAAGTACATTGTTACTTGTTATATGCAGCGATAGAAATGATGTAATGATGATAATAATAATAATAATAATAATTTTAATAGTAAAATAATAATATGTTTTGTCGCAACGGATGTACCGGAGAATTTATCAAATTTTTTTCATTGAAAAATGGTAGCAAGATCCACACGCGTTCACACTTCAACAGAATCGTCTGCCTCTGCGATCGTGTCCAAGTTGGTCAAGTCGACTACAGATATGGACGGTGGCGGCGGCGACTCCTGCAGGACGCTACCGAACTTGATATCGAAACAGTCAGCGGCCAACGTGGCCGGACTGACCGCGACGTTGGGTTTCCCCCCGGTGGCAATGGCCACGATCTCGGGTTGCGGGTATCCGTTGTGACCTATGTAGTTGGCCATCATGGCCGCGGGCCCGTCACATTCGGCCGCCACTGCACGACAATTGCGATGGCTGCGATCGTCGTCGTCGTCCCCACCGCCGCCGTCATCGAAACCACAGTCTGTCGATGTCCCGCGACGGCCACCGCGGCCTCGTTTCGCGTGTCAGGACTTTGCGGCAACAGTGGCGGTGGTATTAGAGCCGGTGCCACGCGTAGAAGACAACGTCAGATCGCTTATACTGCCTCCGCAACCGCCGACGCCGCAGTCTTCGCGTTGCTGTTGCTGCGCCGAGTTGACGCCACTACTGCAGCAGACACCACCCCCGTCACTTGTCTGTGCTGTCGCGGGCCGGTACAGCGTCTTGAGTTTGGTGGACACGCCGTGGTGTACGATGTTGAAGCACATGGCCGTCAGTGCCATGCCGGAAAGTATGTACACGGAACAGAACCATACGGTGGTCGTACCAGTGAGCGTCACGTCCATCGACCTCGAGTTGCCGTAACCGATAGTGCTGAGCAACATGAAGCAGAAGAACACGCAGTTCAGGTACGACTTGTCGCCGGCGTCAAGCTGGTGCAGAACGGCCGCACCGCAGCCGATGTACGCYGACATGAACGCGAATCCAACTAATAGCAGCGGCACGAAACTGGCGCTGTCCGCCGCGGCCGCGGCCAGCTCCGCGGCGGCCATCGATGCTGAATCGGAC